TTTTTCTCCAACTAGCTTCTGTCATTGGCTAATCTTAATGCCAAACAGTTCTGACACTTTCTAGAAAGCCAAATTGAGGCACATGGAAGACAGCCAGCCACTGTGACTTTCCTCCACCCTCTTTGGCAGATGATTCTCCTGAACTTTCACCTGGTCCATGATCTTTTGACTTCCAGAATTTTTAAGATATAGTCATATTCTGTGTGGCCTTCTGTGTCCCCTTAGATTCATCTGCATGTGTGTTACTGTGGTTTCTTATTTTCAAAGCTGCGTAGTACTTCATTGTATGGACTCATCTCTTGAGGGACGTTTTGGTTACTTCTTGTTTTCTATTGATTAAGGTGGCAGTGCATGATCACATACAGGGTGTCTAGTTCTAACACCTAGGCATGTCCTTGATGGACAGATTCTTCCTGTCTCACTGCAACAAGCTACCAAGATGGTTTCAGCCTTGCTTCACTACTTTTTGTCCTCACTAGCAGCACAGGCATGCAGCATGCTGCTGAACACTTTCTTCTTTTTCGTTTTATTTATTTATTTGTTTTTAAATATTCCTTTTTTTAAAAAAAGGATTTTATTATGTATACAATGTTCTACATGCACATTTGCCTGCAAGTCAGAAGAGGGAAGAGGGCACCAGATTTTATTATACATGGTAGTGAGCCACCATGTGGTTGCTGGGAATTGAACTCATGACCTCTGGAAGAGCAGCCAGTGCTCTTAACCTCTGTGCCATCTCTCTAGCCCATTGCTGAACACTTTCCTATTTCTTCCCTTTTAGTGATTCTGCAAGACGGGGTGGTGCCTCACTGGGGTTTGCTTTTACATTCTCCTGATGACTGGTGGCGTTGAGATCTCCTCTTCCTTCTGCTTCTCTCCACTGCTCTACCCCTCCCTCTTCTTCTCTTACCCCCCCTTTTCTCCCTTCTCTGTTCCTTTTCACTCCTCCCCCACTTTCTCTCTTCCTCCCTCCCTGCTGCCCCTTCCATCTCCCCCCCCCCCCCCCCCCCCCCTTGACCTTGACCTTGCAAATGATCCACCTGCCTTCAGCTTCCAGGTTCTGGGATTATAGGTGTGCGCTGCTATGTCTCACTTGTGCTAAGCATCTTTGCAATGATTATTTTTCATCTGTACATCTTTCCTCAGAGAAGTATCTCTTCCAGTCTTTTGCATTTTTTAAGTGCAGTGTATTGTTTTCTTACTGAATTTCTGAGCTCTTTGAACATGCTGGATACAAATCTCTCCCAGATAGGCATTCGTAGCTAACTTCTCCCTGTGTATGACTCCTGTTCTGTTATCTAAACTGTGCATTTCGGAGGTGTGGCTCTTTGTTTTGTGTGTTTTATTTATAGTCTATGCAGTTATTATTGTTTGTGAGAAATCTTAGCTTGGCCCAAAGTCACAAACATCGTCTTTGAAAAGTTTCATCATTCTAAGTTTTTTGTCTAAGGCCAATGATGCATTTAATGCAGCAATGATGCATTACCTTTGCGTCATGCATGGATCTGGATTGAATGCATTTGGTGATGCTTTTGGAGACTGGTGCCTTTGTTCCGACTCCCTTGACCATGTATGATCAGGGAGATACTTTGAAAGGGAGTTCTGCCTGTTTGATTCCCATTGTGATTTCCAGTAATCCTTCTCTCTTCTCCATTTGATTTTGAGCTTTTCCTGCAGTTCCTTGAAGTAGCTGACATGAGTCAGATGGCATCAGAAGCAGGGCTCTATTTGGCACATGTGCTACTTAGAGTCCCAGAATGTGGCAAAGCCAGATCAGAACACAGATGTTCAGGAAGTTTTCCCAGCAGGATACAGCTAAGTGGAAGGGTCTCCAGCTTCTCCTGAGTTCACATTTATTTCTGATGTTCAGTGCTCACTGTGAATAAGGACAAAGTCACTAATGCCTGAATTGCCAGTTTCTTCCTCTCACACCTCTCACTTCCACATGGGAATTCTGTAAGGATCACAAGTGTCTCTGTGGTGGAGTGTGTTCCTTCCTTGGGTGTATGCTCAGGAATGCTATAGATTGGTCATATGGTATTTCCATTTAAACTTATAATTACATCTATCTGTGTATCTATCTCGAGTGTGTGTGTGTGTGTGTGTGTGTGTATGTGTGTGTGGTGTAAGATGTGCACATGTGCCAGGGACTATGAGTAGAAGTCAGGGTATAACTTACAATACTTATAATAGACAGTTCTGTCCTTCTATCAGGTGGGTCCTAGGGATTGGACTCAGGTCATCAAGCTTGGTGGCAAGGGCCATGATCCCACTAAGCTGCTTTTCTGGCCCACTTCTGCTTTGAACTTTTGGAGAATACGTCATACTGATTTCCATAATTACTGTGTTGTTTTATACTCTTCTCCACAGTGAATGTGGGTCCCTCTTTCTCTACTTCCTCACCAGCACTGTCTATTTTCTTGATGACAACCATTCTGACTAGGCTGAGATGGAACTCAGAGTGGTTTTAATTTTCATTTCTCTGATGGATAAAGATGTTGGACATGTGAAAAAATACATATTGGGCATTCATTTATCTTCTTTTGAAAACAGTCTTTTCATTTCATTAGCCCATTTGTTGAGTGGCAGTTTTGTTGATTGGCAGTTTTTTGTTTGTTTAATTTATCAAAATAACAAGGAAATGGAACCAGCCATCAACAGATGAATGGATAATGAAATTGTGGTTTATATATCCAGTTGAATTTTATTCAGTAGTAGAGAAAAATAAAGTCATGAGTGTTGTGAGGAAATGAATAGATCTGAAAAATATATTAAGTGAGGTGACCCAGAATCAAAAGCACAAATATTGAATGTTCTACCTTTTTTGTTTTTGTTTTATCAAGACAGGCTTTCTCTGTGGCTTTGGAGGCTGTCCTGGAACTAGCTCTTGTAGACCAGGCTGGTCTTGAACTCACAGAGATCCGCCTGCCTCTGCCTCCCAAGTGCTGGGATTAAAGGCGTGCACCACCACCGCCCGGCTGAATGTTGTATCTTTATGGGGATCCAAGGTGTGTGTGTGTGCGCGCTCGAGCGCGCGCGAGGGCATGTGCATACGTGGGCACATTTGTGTGTGCATGAGAGAGAGAGAGAGAGAGAGAGAGAGAGAGAGAGAGAACAGATATATAGTATGAAACCTGAAACCACTGGGGAGACCGGGAAAAGAGGAATGAGGAGATAGGAAAGGAGTAAGGAGGCTATGGGGCCAGCAGAGTGGGGACCTGACAGGGGTATGGGAGAGAAATGGGGAAGATAATTAGTAAAGATAAAGTTTGTTTTTAAATGCTGTATTGAAACTTAATATTGTATATACTAATTTAAAAATTGAAATAAAATACATGAGTGGGCAGGTCTTACATGGTTAATGGCAGGTATCTGCTCTTATTCTGGAGGTACTGGCTTTCTAGAACAGGGGTTCTTAACTTCTTTTTGCTTGCAACTCCCTTTCACCTGAGAAATTTTTACATGAACCCTGGTATATGGGAATATAAACCAGTTATCCAGATCAATAAGGTACTGAGGATACATCATTAAAAATTTATTTTAAAACAATTATTGGCACTAGGCTGGGGATATAGCTCAGTGATAGAATGCTTGCCTGCTATACCCACGGCTCTAGGTTTGATCTACTGAACTATAAAACAAGCAAGTAAAAACAATTATTAGATATACATATAATTTTACTACTCATCAAAGAGAAAAGCAAATATACATACTAATGACACACATGTGCTTGTTTGTATATCTTAATATTCCAAAGATACTCTAATGAGATGAATGATGAAGTGAAAGTAGGAAATTATCACAAGTCTTTCCTTTCTCTAAGACACTGTATTTCCGCAAAGGCAGAAAATGTTCTTATGGTAAGAATACCGTCATTATTAGCACATAGAGTTCGGGTTCTTAACTAAGGATTTTGCGATGGGGCCGAACTCCTTGCCCACGTGTAATGTGATAGCATGTGCAGTACAGAGTGGACATGGTGGCATGTATGTGGAGCCAGGGCTGCAGTGAAGTGCAGAGGTGTGGCATGGACAAACACTGCTGGCAACACCCAGGCACATTCCATGCTTGATTGAATCAGGTTTTGGTGCTATATGTTCCCAAAAATTTGACTGTGGCCTGACTTCTCAAGCCCTGCATTTTTGGGTGTAAGGACCCAGATGGTGTCACTGCCTATAGTTTAAGAAGCTGGAAGACACAGAGGTGGAAGCAGGAGGTGACTGAGTGGACATCAAAATGATCTCTCACTAAAGGACACAGACAGTAGGATGGTATCCTTGGAGTAGAACAGAACTGCTTCTGTGGAAACCCACAGGGTATTGGGTAAAAAGGTATTTTTCTAGGTGACTGGTGTTCATTTTGTTATCTGAGGCATTGTTTCAGTTAAAGGAGACAAACATTTCTGCTCAGCTCCTTTAATTTTCAAAAGTAGTGCTTATTGGTGTTCATCTATAATACCCTTTCCCCCTTTGGCCCTATAGTATCTTCATGTTTAAAGGGCTGATCATCTGGTTTTAGATGACTATTTGGGATGCTTTCCCTAAGGAGGACTATTTTTCCACCCTACATTCCTTAGTTGCCTGAGATTCTTTGTCTAGGGGTTGAGTCCCTGTGAGCTTTCCCCATCGGCATTTACATGCCTACTGATATTGTTCTGGTTCAGGTAGCCATGCTGGTGAGACTTCATTGTGATTCTGACATTTTTTGAGATGCATTCTCATAGCAAACTCCCTGTTCTGTGACTCTTACTACAATCTCTCTGCTCTTTTATGAAATACTTTTTTAAAGCATGTAGACACAAAAAAATGCCCATAATTTTTTGGGGGGTGGGGAGCGTTGGATAAGAGAATGTTTTGTTCATTTGTTATTGTGGTTAGGCCTCATCTGGAATCGGTCTTTTCTTTGCTCAGTTTTTCTGTGGATCTTTAACAGAATTACAAGATTATGTTACGATTTGCCTGCCTTAATTCTGCTCAACCCTCCCTCTTTCTGGTTTGCAGGAGGCAGCACTGAAGTACTTGCCAACGATCGTCAATGATGTGAAGTTGGTGTTTGATCCCAAGGAGCTCAGGTAATTATTCTGGAAACAGGTGTTTGCTGCACGCAGCTCACAGAGCATCCAGCTTGGAGGATGCTATAGGTTGCCTCAGACCTACAGAGATCAATGCCCTGGATTGTGTGGAACGAATGGTGCTGATCCGCCTTTCTATGGAGAAGGCTTTACCTGTCAATAGCCACTATTGTGTTGTTGTTGTTGAAAAAATAGTTTATGGTACAATGGGACTGTGACCCAATGTTTTCTTAGTTTGTCTGTCTGTTCCTGTGATAAAATACCAGGACGAAAGCAACATGAGGGAGAAAGTGTTTGTTCCCAGTTCGAGGTACAGCCCACCATGGCAGGGAAGTCAAGGCAGCAGGAACTAAACCTGGTCAGGTTATATCCACCTGAAAAGCAGATGGCAGGGAATTGTCTCAATCATTTAAGGTCATCAGGATAGCCCCTTATAAGTGTGTTCAGAGACCTGATTCCCAGGTCATTCTAGCTCTGTCATGTTGACAGTTAATACTAACCAACACACTCAAAATTTCCATTTCATATATGTTAGTGTTTGGATTTCAGTATGTGGTTGCTGGTCTAGTTTGAATTTTCAGCACCTAAAAAGCTTATTTAGAACCTTTCCTCTTCTCTTGGTAGCTCCTTCTTTATTATAACATGGCACCCTGGACCCTCCTAAATGATGGGCTCTGAGCCACAGACATTAGGGACAGACGTTGCCATTTACTATGGTGATGATGATGATGGTGGTGGTGGTCAGAAGTTGCCATCTATGAGGATGAGGAGGGGGAGGAGGATGAGGAAGATGATGATAATGATGACAGTGATGATGATGAGCCCTCTGAGGAGGTGGTCAGTGGTCACTCAGAGTGGAATATTTTAGTCTAGGGACCAGATTTTCCCTTCTTAGTATATTCTCCCGTTTAGTGTTCTTTGCTGTATAATCTGCAGATAGCATGGCTTTCTGATCAGTGCTTTGGTGGGTGTTTAGCCTTTGATCCCTCGTGTGAGCCCAGCAGCCCAGTACATCTCTGCTTTATATTTATTTGAGGTTTGACACAATGAACTATGTGCAGGAAATGGCACCATTTGTGCTAACCAGACCCTTCAAATATTTGTGAGAGGACATTTGTCCCCAAGGGGTCGTTTTTCCTTCACTTTATATCCACTCTAAGCCATTAATGTCTTTAAATTGAAGGGCAAGGGGCTCCTGGACAGCACTCTCTCTGATTTGACTGAGATTTAGTGTCCAGCAGGGACACACTTATTTTCTGCTTCCAGGACCCTGACATTCGGGTTCTAGCTTAGCTGGCTCCAAATGATGAAATAGAAGCCTTATGACCCAGGATGTTGGTTTGCCCAACTGTGTCTCTGAAAAGACCTTATTTTGGAGGATGGCTTTAAAGGATGGTCCTTGGACCAGCAGTACCCATGGCCCCAGTATTTGTTGAAAGCCAAACCTGGAACTTTTCTTGAATCTTCTTAATTAGACATTGCTGCCTGGTGTCTGATTTTCATGAACCCTCCAGGCATTCCAATAGATATTTGAGATGCACAGGGCTTGAGACACTGAGAGGAAGTGGAGAAGCTTGTCTAATGGGAGCCGGAGTCATAGCCAGGTATGTCCTTGACAGCCAGTGGAAAGACACCAACCCTGCTTGTGATTGGCCGTGTATCATGTGCTTGGAGCTCTGAGGAAGATTTGTTTCCCCTGGGCCACCTGCCTTCACCCTCTGCTCAGTGCCTACATGTGCCTCTTTAATTCCTTCTATACCAATTTTACAAATGACATTAAAATGCACAGACACACACACACACACACACACACACACACACACACACACACACACACACTTCAGGTAAGCATTCTTTGTCCACAGTGAGCTTTTGAACTTAAGGCATTTTGTTTTCCTGATATAACGTCTTCTTCGGTACAGTAATTATGTTTGACTTTCAAGGCATACCATCCCATGCTTTCCCTTATTTCAGCTACAACAGGTATTGCTAGGTGCTCTCCCCATATGAAATAGATGGCATACAAACCTCCTTCAGTTAGCCTCTGTGACAATGCTAGAGCACTGGTTTGATATTACCCTAAATTTGCTTGTCCTTGGTAACTAATCTGGTGAGTGCCTCAGATTCAATGCCAGCTTGGTCTTTTTGATTGCAGATAACATGCCCCTAGCTGATTGTGTCCAGCTGTTCACCATCATAGACTATGCTAAGATATTTGGGCAGTTTCTGCTTTTTTGAGTACTCTAATGCTAGTTTGAGTCATGTACAAGTTTTGTATATATGTATTTATATATTATGTAATATACAACACACAGTAATGTGATTTTACATTTTTTGGAAATTTTCAAGTGGCCACACCCCTTTCTTTTCCTATCTGCATGGAATGTAAAGGATCTAATTTCTTTACATTCTTACCAGCACTTACCATTGTATGTAATTTGAATTGTAGCCACTCAAACTGTAGTTAAAAAAACAAAAAAACAAAACAAAACAAACCAATGTTTTAAAACCCACATTGCCAGGGTAAGATTCAGGCCTGGATTCTGTAAAGGCCTCTATCAAACCTGGTCTTGACATTTCAGGGCCATTTCCTGCCTTGGTGTTTGGCACCAGCTTGGGACAGCCTGGGGTGCTTGGGCTGGCTATGCTTCTGAACCATGTCACTTGCATTTCTCCTCATAGCAAAATGTTCACGGAATTCATCCTGAATGTTCCCGCGGGCTTGCTGACTGTCCAGAAGCTCTACTGCTTGATTGAGATTGTTCATAGTGATCTCTTCACACAGCATGGTGAGTGGATCCCTGGGAATTATGAAATCGTCTGGTTGTTCAGCCAATTCTCTTAGGCTGCCCTAAGGAGGAGAGGTGGCTCGTAATTAAAGCAGCTCGGGTGCTCTAGGCAGGTCTCAGCCCTTTCAAGAGAATGGCAACTGTCATGTAGTCTAGGTAATAGGCCATTGAGAGTGGAGGTGAAAGTGAGTTTGTAATTTGGGAGCACATCAGAGCCCTGTATAATCAGCATACATTGTAGCTCTTAAAATGTGCGATTGTCTGTCCTGGGAAGGCAATCATTTCCATCCTTAAGATGATTGCAATGGGGGAAAATATCTAGTTTCCTTTAAATTTAGAAGTAACGGCTCCATCCTGTTCTAACTCCTGGTTTTTTTGACGGGGTTTCCTCAACTCCTGTTCAGAGTCAGGAGTCCCTAAAAGCTCCTGCATCCCAAGGAACCTTCCATTCCTCTTCATTAGCTCCTCCATCCTTTTGCTTAATCATTTTTTATTTGGACAGATTGAATTAATATTTTACACCTGCCAAGCAATTTTATTGAAAGCTCAAAACCTTTGCATAATCTCTAACCGCCCTCATTTATCGGAGCCGACTTGAGGTCTAGTGGGTGACGGCTTGTCTGTGTAACACAGATTTATTCTCTTCTATTTGTGACCAGACATTTGGTGGCTCCATTCTTTCCCTCTGTCCCCAGGCATAGCGCTGTTTCTTCTTTTCCATGGGCTGTTTTGGTGATGGAGCAGCCCTGGATGGAAAGTGACCTCTGAGTTAGTCTTGCTGGACCTGACCAGGAGCTCAGTGCACCTGTCTCCCACACTGTGCTGCTGTGTGTCTTGGCTGGTTTTAATTGTCTTGTTTTTTTTTTTTAAATTCAACTCTAAAGAATGCACTGGAATGTGTACTTGTATGGAGGGAAAAAAAAAAAGGCTGCTCCTTCATCTGGGTGGGAGCTTTCCACTCTCCCCCCCCCCAAAAAAAAAAAAACTATGAGAGCAAGTGTGAGTGGCCTTCTGAAGCATGTTCTCTCCCACTCCCCTCTGGAATGGAATCCCTTGATTTTATTTATAAAAGTCCTGTTGCCTATGACTTGAATCACGTGATCCAAATTGAGTGCTTAGTTCTGATTTCCATAATTCAGGCTTTTACTCCAGGACTGGGTCTTGCATGGCATGATTTCCTAGTTGTCTTCAAAAGCTACAAGATGTCATGGGACCCATAGAAAGTTGCTAAGAACCAGGCAGTGGTGGCGTATGCCTTTAGCTCCAGCACCGAGGAAGCAGAGGCAGGAGGATCTTTGTGAGTTGGTGGCCAGCCTGGTCTACAAAGTGAGTTCCAGGACAGCCAGTGCTGTTACACAAAAAAACCCTGTCTTGAAAAAAAAAAAGAAAGTTGCTAAGAAGGTGACTGTTGGGGACGTTGCAAGTTGGTGTTCCCATGGTGACTGTATCTGCAGCTAGAGCAAATAAATCCATGTCCCAATTCATATTTAAGTCTTATCAGGTTCATTATTGGTGAAGTGTGCCCACATCTTCCCCATACATGTGTAGGTTCTCCCTTCAATATAACCATACTGTCACGTACTCCACCCACCTTCCTCCCACACCATTATCTGTCACTGCTAGGGTAGACATCCTAGTTGCTCATCTCAACATATCAAGGAAAAGTGACTGGTTATGGAGAGTCAGGGTCATGTTCACATCCATCACACTTGAGCAACAAAGAGGCTTACGAGAAATAGGTTCCCATTGTGTCTTCCCTGGAATCCACAGTTAAGTTCAGCCTGGCTGTCCAGCAGGTGGTGGGAGCATGGGCCAGGTTATCTCTTTAGGAGTGGTACTTCTGCAGAATGGTAACACACAACAGGTACAGAGTTAGTAGAAAATACAGAACAAAGTCCACCAGAACAAAACAAATCCAGCTTTTTGAACTAGAAAACATAATATCTCTCTTTCAGATTATGTTAATTTTAGCCAAATATAGTCAAAGAAAAGCTAGTTTGTGAATTGTATAACTTATTGTTCCCAGAAAGTTGTGTTAGAGGTTTTGCCATGCCCACCTCACCAGGAGTCTGATTCTAAATGTTTCAGAAAAAAATCAAAACTATGGTTGAAAAAAGACATAATATTCCTATTTTAAACTTTGATGAGTGTTTGGCAATTGACATGGTTTAGTTATTTTTATTGCACATATCATTTTAAGATAACAGTCATGACTGACAGCCTCACACTAGGACCTTCAGGTTTTTATAAATTTTGTATGATCTTTAGAACATTTGCATTAAAAATAAATATCAAGCATCATGGGAAAGTAATAGTCATTTATTTAGCCAGAGTTCTAAAATAATCCCTCAAAAGACTTTAAAACAAATACACACTTAATAAGCTTCCACTCTTGCTCATACCTGTAATCCTGCAACTCTGGAAGCTGAGGCAGAAGGATTGACACCCACATCCAGACATTGCCATTCTAGGCCAGTCTGATGACAGCCAGTGTGATGCCCTCAAACAAAACCAAACAAAGCCAGCCAGCCAATCAGGCATACACAAGAACAACACAGCAGCAGCAGCAGCAGCAGCAGCAGCAGCAGCAGCAGCAGCAGCCAGCCAGTTACAAAGTCTCTTTAGATTCCATGTTTTAACTGGACAGTGGTGGCACATGCCTGTAATCCTGGCACTCAGGCGGTGGCAGGTGGATCTTTGTGAGTCCCAGGCCAGCCTGGTCTACATGTTTTAATCAATATATAATGTAGCTACTGGAAATTATCATAATAATATACAATCTTTGGGCAGGTCTATGTCAAGGGAACTTGTTGGTTTAAATACTCAGAATTGAATTTTTTAAATGTCAGTTTGTCAATATTTAATTTTTAAAATATGATATATATGTTTTAAATAAATTACAATTAACCTGATGCCCCAGAAATTTCCTTTTATACAATTCAATTTTCACAAACTTAGTAAGACTTTCTTAAGGCTTCTTTTCCTTCCTTCCTTCTTTCCTTTTCTTTCTTTTCTCTTTTGAGGCAGGGTCAATCCAATTTTCACAAACTTACTAAGACTTCCTTAGGCTTTCTTTGTTTTCTTTCTCTTTTTTCTCTTTTGAGGTAGGGTCTCTCTATGTAGCCCTGGCTGTCCTGGAATTCCCTATGTAGACCAGGCTGGCTTGGAACTCACAGAATTCCTCCTGTCTCTATCTCCTGAGTACTGTGAGGTGTGGTCCACCACCACTCAGCCTTGCTTAGACTTACTGCAGTTTGATTAAATCTTTTTTCCCTGCCATTCTTCCCTGCCTCCCTATGGAGATCTGTCCAGCCATTCTACTTTTGTAGAAAAAGGTTTAAGTTTTTGTTAAAAAATCCTTTTCATCCAAAAAAAAAAAAAATCGTCTTTTTTTAATCTTTTTGAACCAAAGTGTATCTTTGTACTTGTAACATTTTTGTTTCCATCTCAAAAGTTCTTGTTTTCCTTTCTTAAATTTACAAATTATAATATTCCTTAAAATATTCAGAATTATATAAAATTTGTCTCTTTCTCAACAGAAAAATATTTAACATTTTCAAATTAAAATATAACCTCATTTACTGTATTCTTTTCTATAGAGTTGTATGTCTGAACCATAATTTTCCACTCTTAGTAACATTTTGCAAGAAGTTAGACAGAAAGCAATTGGTTTTCATATACCCCCAAATTATAAAAACATACTTGTTAATGAACCCACTGTCTTGGTTTCTTTTCTGTTGCCGGGGTAAAAATACTCTAACAAAAGCAACTTTAGGAGAGGAGGTTTCTTGAGCTCAAAGGTCCAGGCTTCAGTACATCATGGAGGGAAGTAAGGTCATCGGAAGCTTGAAGCAGCTGGTCACATCACATCCATAGCCAGAAGAAAAGAGTAGTTAATGAAAGCAGAGAGACCTCAACTCTTGTCTCCACAGCCTTGGTCCTGCCCATATCAACTAATATATTTAAGGCAACATCTGAGAGATCTATCCATAGACCAGCCTGATCTAGTTAGCCCCTCCCAAACAGTCCCTTCCTAGGTGAATTCAGTGTCAGGTTGACAATGGAAACCAATCATTGCACCCACATATATAGCCTTTTAACTAGAACATATGAAGACAAGCTTATTTTAATTTGAATCTAGAAATATCTCCCTTATTTCCCTTAATTTATTCATTTTGAGCCATTATTCATGGTTTAATTAAGAAAACTGAAAAATCTCATAAGCTTACTCACAACTTTTTCCCCCAAAGCAAAAACCTCAACATGACATTTCTGTTCTTGATACACAGGAGCCATAGTCATTGTTATATTCCCATCTGTGTATTTATTCTTCCATTGCATGTAGTTGAATGTTTTTCTCTGTCCGGCTGGTCCCCCTGGACCTGTTTCTCTCCTACTCTCCATTCTCTGCAGTCTCTTATGAAATAATCACTTAAAGGCTAATACTAAATGTCATTGTTTGGCCAATAGCTCAGGCTTATTACTGGTTAGCTCTCTTTTATAAATTAACTCATTGTTACTAATCTGATATTCACAGCATACAGAAGGACATCACATATCATCGCATATAGATGCGATGGAAGGGCATTCCACATCAATCACACTTACAGTTGTACCTTTTGGTTTCTGTGAGAGGGTCTTAATATGTAGTCCAGGCTGGTCTAGAACTCAGCTTCCATACTGGGACTGCAGGCCCCAAGCACTGTCCTTGGTATGTTTATGACCATAAACATTCAACAGAGGTCAAAATAGCCTTGCCCAGCCATGAAATACAGGCAAGTGTGTTTGCCTACAGCCCAGAAGACAACTTTATTTTGAACTTACCAACAATTTGGTGAGACAGATATAATAAAGAATACAAATACATTTGGTTGTAGAGTTGAGTCTGCATTATATTAATGAAGATAATATGGAACTAGTTAGGGTCCCCAGGTACATGGTCAAACTTAGAGAATTTTGGCCATCTTAGAACAGCATTTTCTGGTGTGGCGGCCCTCAGA